TTCGGAAAGAAGTCGCGCATGGATTTTGTGTTTTTATTAATTAGACTCTTCCCCTGTGCTGTTACTCATGCCACTAAATCGCTAAAAAGTCCATCGGTCGTCAGTCATGAGGATGGGCCTAGCTTTACCATGCAGAAGCGCCTTATTTTTCTTGTGCTTGCTCCAGTGGAGCTTAGTGCGGTTTTGCCCTTTTTCCCTCGTCCTTTACCGCTTCAAAATTGGACACGACCGACCACCTTCAGCCCATCACTTATGTGCAGAGGCTTTAGCTGTCACAGACGGAAACCCGTTTCCTACGTTCTACTGGCTAGGAGGTTCTTGCCTCCCTTTGCCCGCTACCTGCTAGTGCCTGCTTTGCTCGGCACCGCTGCAGAGCTAATTTCTTAAGGGCTAAGAAGCTTGGCCTTCCCTTTGCCCCAGGCTAACTACCTCGTGCTTCGGACTCCCCCTCCGAAATTCAGTATGCTGCTATTTCGGACTAACCCAGGTGGCCGGCCTAGGCGGTTCGCCCCGAAGTAGCCGCTATTTATGCCCGACTAGTCTTAGTCTGTAAACCTGCCCCGGGACTTTGACTCTGTCTACCCTGTTATTAGGCTAAAAAATGAGAACTAGGTCGTTGACTATTCTCTTACCCTGGGACTATGTCGCTGACTATCCCTTTCTTTCCTTGAGGCTTTGTCGCTGACTACCCCTAACTTGGGACTAGGTCGTTGGCTACCCCTTCAAAAAAAAAAAAACCAAGAGCAGAACCCGCTTGCTGCAGATAACTGCTTCGGCAGCTTGCTTATGCCAGTTATTTCAACTCGGCAGCTACGTTAGCTTTATTGAAGTAGATATTTCTAAGTTAGATAAGCTGTACAATGTTAGTGGCTTTATTGCACTCAACGTTTGCCGTTTGTTCCTGAAAAGATGCACTTAACTTTTTAGGGTCAGGAATTTTCTACAAATACAGATACACCGCGACGCAGTATAGTTCTATTTCGTGAGCAAAATTTTAGGAAATATCCATTCTAAGGAGGAGGAACAGACAGAAAAGACCTACTTATTTATTACGACAACCGACCAGGAGAAGCGACTAGCTATTTCTGATAGAGAAGAAAGGGGACCTCTCCCCTTGAAACCGATAGAGTTTCGCGAGGTTTTTGCTCAATCTTCTCCGAGCATCTTATTGAGACAAACAATGAGAGATACGCTGAGAGAAACCGAAAGAGTGGAGATATGTTCATGCTGTGAGCGACGCACTTGCTTTGAATAAAGATACTGAAATATACTACCTTTCCGAACTCAAGACAAGGAGAAGACTGACCGAGAGACTGTAGTACTAAACTTGTTCGTCCCCTTCTCGCTCCCCCACTTCCACTTTCGTCCTAGCTCCTCTGTTGCACGCCCCGCTTTCCGCGTACCCCAAAAGAATCTGGTCTGACTCTGACACGAAACAGAAAACTAAAACTTGTAAGGGATAAGAACGCGAAGAGACGAAAATCACTGCTGTAGCTGCTCGATAAAACAAATGGATGGTGTGTGAATGTTGTAAGAAGAAGACCAGAAGCTCATGAGTGATGTAACGATATAAGAAAGTCAAGAAGTAATAAAATACTTGCGCAAGATGCTGTGGCGAGAGAATGGAACTGATGAAAACAACCAGTAAAATTCTAAATGATGAAAGATCGATGGAGAAGTAAACGATTGAAATTCTTGACATGAAAATGATGAAAATTGTACAGAAAAAATTTGATCCAAATCTACAAACACTCATGGAGAAAATGCTATTAGATTTATCCTAACAACTGCTCCTCCGACCCCCACTACCTTCGCCTTCAACTTTCACTCTTCAGACTTTCAGCATCTTCATCTGTGGAGGTTCCTCCTCCACTGTTCGCTTCCTCCGTGTCATCCGACTGGATCTCAACAGGCTGATCTTTTTCATTTTGCTCTTTGATGAGGGTGACCAGGTCTACTTCTTCTAGATCCAAGACTTCAAAAAGATTGTAGACTCCCGCGCCTGAAAAGTCGGTCTCAGACTTTACTTCCTCACCCTCGTATTGGCTCTCCATCTTCACTCCCCCACTTGGTAAAAAGTGAAAACTACCTGTACGCGCGCCCGGTAGACCAAAATGTTGAAAAGTAGATGAAGACTGTGGCTGTTGCTGTTGTTGCTGCTGCACATGCTTCTGCATTGCGGGGTGCATCGTGGCAGCCGCCGTAGGGCCTGTCGCTAGCCTTTGCTGCAACTGTCGGAACGCCTCGTCTGCTCCTCGTTGTCCTTCTGTTTGCTGTGGTTGCTGTCCACCTGTCGGTCCCGGTGCCGTCGCAGGCATCTGCAAGTTGTAACCGGACGGCTGTGACATGTTCATGCCAGGCTGCTGCAGGTTCGGCTGCGAGTCAGCAGGAGGTGGTAGCTGAATCGGCGGTAACGGTGGCGGCGTCAGATTGTAAGACGGCATCTGCTCGTCCGCCATCCAGTTGTAAGCCGCCGGTTGCTCAGGTGCGGCTAGTCCGCACTTGTAGCAGGCCTTTCGGCTCGCATAGTTTTGCCCTCCGCAGCTGCAGGTCCAAGCGCTTTGCGGTTGTCCTTTGCTGCCTCCGCCTTTGCTCCGGTTCGCGCCTTTCTGCTGATTTCCACCAGGCTTTCCTTTGTCGCCGCTCGGTGCTCCCCCGTTCAGGTGCTGGCGGCGTAAAAACGCACGCTCCTCATCGACCCCCAGCTTCAGCAGTTCTATTCTCTTCTTCGCCTCGGGGGCCTCGCCGTATCGATGGTGCGGCCCGAAGAGGCAGTCCCTCGTATGTACTTTCGGGTGCTCGCGGCCGCACCATCCGCAGATAGGTGTCGCGGACGCATGGCCCTTCTGTGGTGGTTGCTGTGCTGGTGCCGGTGGCTTTCCCGCCTTTGGGTCCGTATTCGCCGGCGCTGGAAACGATCCGTAGGTTGGATCCCTAGGCACTGGCAAGTCCGGGACTGATTCTCCGGCGAGGTGCTTGCTCCAATCGTCCGCTTGTCTATTCTGCTCGCCGATCGACAAGCTCGCCTCGATTTCCGCACTTGCATACCTATCGACGCACGCAAGCCAGTCCGCTAGCGATGTAGAGTCATCTACATGGTGACTCATCCACGACCGCATGTCCTTCCCGCACCATTCCCGTAGAATGGTAAAGTAGTGACTTACGTCACCACTACTATTCGCACTGTCACTGAGTGAAAACGAGATAGCGCCGCTTTTCTCGTACTCCATGATCAGTGTGCGAACCGTTTCTGTTGTCCACTGCAAGGCGCTGTAGTTCGTCAGCCACCTTTTTCCCGTTGCTCTGAGCAACGTCATCTTCACCCGGTGGATGCAGGTAGCGGCGCTCCTTGCCGGGTTGATCCCGAACTTCTCACGGAGTCGTTCTCCAATCCTGTCCACCGCACGTCCGCACTCGCGCTCCGTTACGGGCTCCAGCTCGAGCTTCACGCCTTCGTAGATCTGTTTTCCTAGTCCCTTCAGGATTCCGCCAAGCTGGTGCCACATCGTTGTTTTTGTGGTCACTCCTCTGCGCGTCATCAGCGAGCATATCTCATCCCACTCGACGCTCAAGGTCGCCCTTTTCGACAACGAAAACGAGACTCCGCCGCCGATCTCCGCGTGAAGGCGCTCTGGCCTTGGTGTTGCGGCAGTAGCCGCTTGTCCGTGCTGCATTTCCGCGTCCGCATTGCTGTCTCCACTACTAAGGTTGAAGACTTCTACTGCGGGACGCGGCTGCTGCTGCGTGGTCCCAGCAGCCGCTGTCGCCGCTCTACTAGCAGCTTCCGTTGCCGCTGCCTGAATAGTCGCCTCCGCTGCTGCTGCTCTGCTGGCAGCTTCCACTTGGACTTTTCGCAACTCCTCCTGGGCAGTTGCGGCTGCCGCATTTGCTGTAGCTGCAGCTGCATTCGCGGTTTGAATTTGCACAGCTTGCTCCTGGATAGTGCTCATCAACTTGCTGCTTTGCTCTTGCTGTGCTAGCATCATCTTCTGAAGCGCTTCAAGCTGCTGCCGCAAATCCACTACCGCAGACTCGGTTATTATTTGCGTGCCAGTGATTGCTCCACCTAGCTCCCTCACTACTCGCTCCGCGCCCCGTAGTTGGCTGCTGTGCTCCGACAGGTGCGCACCTGTGAGGGTGAACCCGGCACGCGTTGCTTGTGCCAGGTCATTGACGCTGCTGCTGGGGTCTCGGTCCGCCCTCGATGCTGCTCGCCCGGAACGGCTTCTCGGACTCTCTTCGACCGTCGCGAGCGAGCTCGTGGAACCACGCCTGCTGAGGCCCTTTGGACGCGGACGCATCGGGCTGTCAGGGGGTGATCGGTCTGCCAACGACATCGCCGCGGAACTGAAATCGTGTCACAAAAAACTGTCGCCGGTTTTAACGAGCCGGGCGTTGGGCTCATAACTTCGGAAAGAAGTCGCGCATGGATTTTGTGTTTTTATTAATTAGACTCTTCCCCTGTGCTGTTACTCATGCCACTAAATCGCTAAAAAGTCCATCGGTCGTCAGTCATGAGGATGGGCCTAGCTTTACCATGCAGAAGCGCCTTATTTTTCTTGTGCTTGCTCCAGTGGAGCTTAGTGCGGTTTTGCCCTTTTTCCCTCGTCCTTTACCGCTTCAAAATTGGACACGACCGACCACCTTCAGCCCATCACTTATGTGCAGAGGCTTTAGCTGTCACAGACGGAAACCCGTTTCCTACGTTCTACTGGCTAGGAGGTTCTTGCCTCCCTTTGCCCGCTACCTGCTAGTGCCTGCTTTGCTCGGCACCGCTGCAGAACTAATTTCTTAAGGGCTAAGAAGCTTGGCCTTCCCTTTGCCCCAGGCTAACTACCTCGTGCTTCGCGCATCGATTTTGTGTTTTTCTTAATTCTACTCTTTTCCTGTGCTGTTACTCATGCCACTAAAGCGCTAAAAAGTCCATCGGTCGTCAGTCATGAGGATGGGCCTAGCTTTACCATGCAGAAGCGCCTTATTTTTCTTGTGCTTGCTCCGGTGGAGCTTAGTGCGGTTTTGCCCTTTTTCCCTCGTCCTTTACCGCTTCAAAATTGGACACGACCGACCACCTTCAGCCCATCACTTATGTGCAGAGGCTTTAGCTGTCACAGACGGAAACCCGTTTCCTACGTTCTACTGGCTAGGAGGTTCTTGCCTCCCTTTGCCCGCTACCTGCTAGTGCCTGCTTTGCTCGGCACCGCTGCAGAACTAATTTCTTAAGGGCTAAGAAGCTTGGCCTTCCCTTTGCCCCAGGCTAACTACCTCGTGCTTCGCGCATCGATTTTGTGTTTTTCTTAATTCTACTCTTTTCCTGTGCTGTTACTCATGCCACTAAAGCGCTAAAAAGTCCATCGGTCGTCAGTCATGAGGATGGGCCTAGCTTTACCATGCAGAAGCGCCTTATTTTTCTTGTGCTTGCTCCGGTGGAGCTTAGTGCGGTTTTGCCCTTTTTCCCTCGTCCTTTACCGCTTCAAAATTGGACACGACCGACCACCTTCAGCCCATCACTTATGTGCAGAGGCTTTAGCTGTCACAGACGGAAACCCGTTTCCTACGTTCTACTGGCTAGGAGGTTCTTGCCTCCCTTTGCCCGCTACCTGCTAGTGCCTGCTTTGCTCGGCACCGCTGCAGAACTAATTTCTTAAGGGCTAAGAAGCTTGGCCTTCCCTTTGCCCCAGGCTAACTACCTCGTGCTTCGCGCATCGATTTTGTGTTTTTCTTAATTCTACTCTTTTCCTGTGCTGTTACTCATGCCACTAAAGCGCTAAAAAGTCCATCGGTCGTCAGTCATGAGGATGGGCCTAGCTTTACCATGCAGAAGCGCCTTATTTTTCTTGTGCTTGCTCCGGTGGAGCTTAGTGCGGTTTTGCCCTTTTTCCCTCGTCCTTTACCGCTTCAAAATTGGACACGACCGACCACCTTCAGCCCATCACTTATGTGCAGAGGCTTTAGCTGTCACAGACGGAAACCCGTTTCCTACGTTCTACTGGCTAGGAGGTTCTTGCCTCCCTTTGCCCGCTACCTGCTAGTGCCTGCTTTGCTCGGCACCGCTGCAGAACTAATTTCTTAAGGGCTAAGAAGCTTGGCCTTCCCTTTGCCCCAGGCTAACTACCTCGTGCTTCGCGCATCGATTTTGTGTTTTTCTTAATTCTACTCTTTTCCTGTGCTGTTACTCATGCCACTAAAGCGCTAAAAAGTCCATCGGTCGTCAGTCATGAGGATGGGCCTAGCTTTACCATGCAGAAGCGCCTTATTTTTCTTGTGCTTGCTCCGGTGGAGCTTAGTGCGGTTTTGCCCTTTTTCCCTCGTCCTTTACCGCTTCAAAATTGGACACGACCGACCACCTTCAGCCCATCACTTATGTGCAGAGGCTTTAGCTGTCACAGACGGAAACCCGTTTCCTACGTTCTACTGGCTAGGAGGTTCTTGCCTCCCTTTGCCCGCTACCTGCTAGTGCCTGCTTTGCTCGGCACCGCTGCAGAACTAANTGATACCCGAGGGACGGGGATCCAGCAGCAGCCCAAAGAAGATCAAGGAGAGAAGTTTTGTCTGTGTCAAAAAGGTCTATTTCTAGTAGGAACCGATAACCCGGAACAGCTTGAAAAAGCAAAGAACTTTGACAATTTCGGTTGGATCTTCAATGCACATTGAGGGCATTACATTTGTGAACTTGAACAAGCAAAGCAGCTGTTGACCTGCTACATGATAAAAGAAAATCTTTGAACAGCCACACTAGGGCCATTGGATGGCGAGAGAAGCACGATTTTGAGCCCGTTTGGGCAGTTGAAGCCCAAAGTGGCACTTTTCACACAAGAAGTAACTCAACAACTCGAATCCAAAAGCATGGGCGTTCTTCACGTTACGCCGGTGCTCTCCCTCCGGCATGCTAGGGGCAGCGTGCTCGAGATCCGATCATGGCACCCCTGACGTTTACACGAACCTGCACCAACTCGAAGCCGATTCAACTCGACTAAATCAACTCGATACAACTCGTTTTTTTCGTTTTTCGCTACTCGATTTACGACCTCAACTCGACTACTACTCGCTTATATTCGACCCGAATCAATCTACGCGTTTAGATATTTCAACTTACTCGACTCGACCCGAACCCGCACATTTTTCGGCTTAGAGACCCCTTGGGGGGGGCCGGTTTCAACTCGAATATCTATATTTCCGGCCTATAAATTCCTCTTTGGTGAAGAGGAAGGTCGACCACCACTCGCGCATCCCATATGATATCCGCGCAATTGCGGTGCCCCGGGGGGACGGGGTTGGCAGCCGCGTTTTATGGCTGTATATTTTCGCATCTACTCGTGGTAGTGTAGTATAGTCCTAGTAAGTTCGAAGTGCTCCA